GTAATCAAAATCACCAGCAGTACCTGCCGCCTTGAAGTCAGCGACTTCTCTTCCTCAACACCTCTTCGTCTGCTTGATCAGGATCACCAGCCGTCTTCGGTTTGGCCTTGACGGGGAATGGCCCGAACTCTAGCTTTCTTAGTTCAGCTACAATTTCAGCTTTCTTTCGGTTGCTAACGACGAGCTTCTTCTCGATGATCATCAGTACAAATCTCGCTTGATTCGATAATCGTTCGTACATCAACGTCAGATCGTTCACGAGATATTCCTAGATTGAGGGAGCGAACATCAGACTTGATACCAGCTTTCCTTGTGATATAACAACAGAACTTACTTTTCGCTTTTGGTAATAGGCCAATCGAACATCATAGAAGTCATCCAAGATTTGCTCTGGGGTCGAATATTTCTTGATTTTCCCAGATGGATCAAAGCAGACCATATTAGTGATCGAGAGATTGGCAGATAACTTGAACACTTTCTCGATGCCTTCTTTCTTGATAGCATCTTTGCCTCTTTCGGTCAAGGAGATGATAAAGTGTACCGTCGTCTCGGTATGGTATTCCCGATAATCCTAAATAAAAAGAAAGACAAAATCATTAAATGGTATGAAGCGCCGTGCACATCCATAAAACAAAATACAAACCTTGACCAATGCAGGGATTTTGTCGGTCGAATTGATCCAAGCTTCGATTTGTTCTTTGTAAGATTGATTCCAAACGCGAACGGGCAGCTCCGTAATTTCGATAGTATCCTCATCAGGCTGATCCCATTCACCCAAGACCTTATATTTACCGGGAGCTTCTGAGGTGATTTGACCAGTGAACCCCCTGAACCAAGGATGCATGGGTTCCATAGGTTCGTTGGCCAAGCGACGACGCAAGTTATTGACGATGTCAACCGGATTATAGTTCGGGATATCCGAACTCCAGCCGGTTCCGATCCCGCTGGAGCCGTTGACAAGGACCATGGGCAGGATAGGGATGTACCATTCGGGCTCGATTTGGGTGCCATCGTCGGTCAAGTAGTTGAGCACATTATCATCCGCCGGCGGGAAGATGACTCGAGTGATTTTCTCAACGTTAGTAAAAATATACCTTGCAGAGGCCGCATCTTTACCACCTGAGGCACGTGTACCGAATTGTCCATTCGGCGAAAGGACGTTGATGTTGTTACTTCCGACAAAGTTTTGAGCAAGACCTACGATCGTTTGGGTTAAACTTGCTTCTCCATGGTGGTATGCCGAATGCTCGGAACAGTAACCTCCCAACTGCGCGACCTTGATTTCAGCCTTCAGTTTTCGCTTGAAGCATGCAAACAATACTTTCCTCTGTCCCGGCTTGAATCCATCTACCATTGATGGAATCGAACGGATGTTATCTGCCATCGAAAACAAGATGAGCTCTTTGTTGATAAACTCCGTGTAAGTAATTTGCGAAACATTTTGATCGAGATGAGTACCAGGCTGAGAGAAAAATTTTCACATTAGTAAAAAGCGCTGCGCTATATCATCGAATGAATTGTTACTTTTGAAATTGCCTACCTCGAAGCCTCTGAGCCACTCCTTCCGATCATCAGCCTTTTTCTTGTTGAATGCCATATCGATCAAGTGACGATCATTCTCTTGAGTAGGGGCGAACTTGATTCTATGAGAGGACATCCGACTGAAGTATTTCTTGGCGTCTTTTGCATCACTTGTACCCAATCCCTGAAAAAGACGATAAGGAAATAACCCCGATTTTCTTTGAGCGATTGATCGCCAAACTTTATATCGCAAATTTTATTTGTTTTGTTTAGAAAAAAATGACTCAACTTTGTAGTACTTGCTAGTCCAGCCACGTCCGTCGTCATTCTCTTCTTTCCATTTCTCAAACTCTGGCATAGTGAAGAAAGAAAGTTCCTCTTTCTTTCTGGTAACCTTCACGATTGGTGTGATAAATTCGACTAAGAAACCAGGAATTTCCAAAAGAGAAGGGAAGAAATAGTCGAGAAAGTTGATGATTAAGCCTTTAATGTGAGAGCCATCGTGATCCTAGAGGGAAGAAAAGGTAAACCGGTCAATACAAGTCATTATTGAAGGGAAGGTGCGTGGTCGTGATGGGGAGGACTTGCCTGATCGGTCATGATCATCAAGCTGCCGTATCGAAGCGAGTCCCTACTAGCGTATTTCTTGCCTTGTTGAAGGCCCATGATTTGTTTGATATGTTGAATTTCAGCATTGTTCAGAAGCTGAGCACCACTAGCCTCACGGACGTTGAGCAGTTTACCGCGGAGCGGAAAGACGCCGTAGTTATCGCGTCCAATGACGGAGAGACCAGCAACAGCTAAAGATTTGGCAGAGTCTCCCTCCGTCAAGATTAACGTACAATCTGCCGCCTTCCTAGTCCCCGCATTGTTGGCATCTTCTAGTTTGACAATACCGGTGATTCGAGATCGCTTTGATCCATCGGTTTTCTTCAGAGCAGCTTCTTCTTTAAACTTTGCAAAATCCATTACACTGTCGATTACTCCCGACTTCATCACTTTTTTTGGTGGTTGACATCCGTCGGCGATTAACATATTAGCGAAGATAAATAAGGGTTCAATATGTCAGATTGACTGACCTTTTTTCATAAACTCTTCGGTCATCACACACTTGCTCCCAAATTTGCTCATTCCCAAGGTCATATTCTCTTTGGTCTGACTATCAAACGTCGGATTTTCGATTAAACAGTTGACGAAGACCCAGAGGTGGTTTCTGACTTGATAGGGTTTGAGGGTCAGTTTAGCTTTCTTCTTGTTAACGGATTCGATGATTTTTTCGACCAATTGTTTGACGATGTGTTCCACATGAGTACCGCCTTTTGTGGTCGCGATCGAGTTACAGAAGGACACCTGTTGGAATTGTCCATCTGAAGGTGCAAACGCAATTTCCCATCGCTTGCCACATTCTTCATATATGATCGGTGTTTTCGTCGCACCATTACCAGGGGATCCGGGAGCCTCAAGAGCTTTGGCTGCGGAGCCTTTGATGGCCTGAAAAAAAAGAAACAAATTAGACGGTCATTTTCAAAGACCAGAAGATCAAGCGTAACAATAGAGCCTACTTCATTAACTCCGCTCGTATACATTTCCACATATTTCTTGAATCCCGTGAGCTTAATTCTCTCGTCATTCAGCCACACTTTCACATTCCTCAGAGTTCCGGCCATATCATAAACACGTTTACTTATCAAGGCTTCCATATCTCCTGCAAGCCCATTCTCAGCTGGTAGATTGAATTTGACTAGATCAGGTTTGAACGAGATTTTAGTATATTCTTCCCCTTTCTTATTTTCGGTGATTTTCGGCTTCTCTTTCACCGACATATTGCTGTAATCAAGATGTAGCACCAATTTGAGCGGTCGGCCAATCGGGGTGCAGTAGAAAGGAGATAATGCGAACAGCTTACTTTTTGAAAATTTGCTTGTACTTTTTGGCTGTTTGTTTATCGGCAGCCTCGACAATGAATTCGGTTGAATAAATGTTCGCAAGTTCTACACAACACAATTGACGACATGAGCCTCCGATGTTAGTCTACAAAGTCACAAGGTAACTCACTCGCTCCATAACCATTCCTGCCACCCGTCGTCTTTTTCTCTTCATCATCAAAGTTACTTCCGGCCAGAAGATGTCCAAAAATGAGCTCGGGTATGTAAATCTGTTCAGTCTCGTGGATCTGAATTTTTTAAGTCGATCAAATTTAGTTAGGTCTAAGGCTGTAGTGGGTCCGAGAAATCCGAAGTCTTTTACCTCAATGGGAATTCCCTTTCCGTTATTCATAACCGAGATGATGTTTTTCTCAGAATCGATAGTTACTTTGAGGGTATCCATACTATCGTCACGTTGCTGTTGCAGGCAAGTGGATTTGAGGGTCAGAGATATTGATCACCAGATCATGAGGAGGCAAAATTGTTGTTAAGCGTTTGGGAGGGCGTACCTTATTGTCAGCCGCATTGACAAGGATTTCGTCGACAATTTTGTAGAGTCCAGGGACAAATGAAATCTCCTTGTTGACCATCGTTTTCTTCTCTTTATCGAAAATCCACATGAATTGTCGAATAGCTTCGACACTTCCTATATACGTATCAGGTCTCTTGAGAACATGTTCCAATTGAGACAACTAGATAGATCAAATCCAACGAAAAACAAGATTAAGTATGTTGTTCAAACGATTCTAAGTTGGCTTGCTTGATGATGGTCCTCACTTTCTGGTAGGTTTCACTGGCTGTCTTTTTCTTAGATCCAGCCGGGCCGTTAGTTGTAGTAGGGGGCTTTGAGGCAGGAAGTTCGGTCAAGACATCTCCAGCTTCGGAATTATTATCAGAATCTGCCTGGTTTTCATCTCGATCGGTTAAGGGTTTGGATTTGCTTTTCGCAGCGGTTGCCTTGGGTTTAGGGGCAGCTTTGGTAGTCTTGGAAGTTGGCTTAGGCTTAGCGGCAGCCTACATTTTCAAGCAAAAAAAAAACACCAAAAAATTAGCATCTGAGAAAAAGAACTCTTTGAGATTCCAAGGGTGAGTCTAACTGACCTTGGGTTTTGCTTTGGATTTGGGTACAGAGATTTCGCCAAAGTCTGACCCGGAGTTATCATCGTTTGCCACATTAAAATCCTCGCTCTACATATAAACTCACAGTCAGTTTCAGATACAGAAATTCCAACAAGAAGGACTCACTTCATCTGAGGACATCTTGTTAAGAGCCCGAGATGAAAAGTGATGGTGTACTCCAATTGACGGCGCTGAAGACTGGTGGAGTGTTCTGATTGAGGGATGATACGGTGGTAGTCCAATCGGCTGGAGTTTGATGAGTTGATATCTGAATCGTTGAAGGATGATGTTGATGTTGATGATGATGTTGTTGGTGGAATCCGACGCGTCTGGTCAGGAGCACCGCCACTCAAGCAAAAAGGGCTGAACAGGTGGAGAGGGCCATTTGGATTATGTAAGCTGGCTCATCGCGCCTCCTGGGTCGAATGCGAAACCATGGCGGAGATGGGCAAGCAGCCTTTCAAATCTGACATGTTATAATTTGCAGACTCATAGCTTGACTGAATTTTTTCACCAATGCTGATACAAAAGAGAAATGCAAAATCTGATGCTCACTCACAAAAAAAAGGGCATACATTAGACAGACTAAATCATCTGAGGTGTCCAAGGCATGCTTCATATGTGTTTATTTGATGCCATTGATTTGTGAAGCATCAAATAAACAGTGCAACAATGAGAAATAATTGTGTCAATGGATCTGTACCAACTATATCAGATTCCCACATCTGGCATTACATCAGATTAAAAAATCTGATTTTACATCACACAAAACTGGTATTATATCTATCAGGAGTGATATTATATCTACCTAAAATTATGTTGTATCTATCTTAACAGATATTGCATCAGCCCAACCTATTTAATATCAACATAACTGATTTTATATCTGATTTTTATATCTGATACAAGTTTTTAGCCCATGGGCATTAAATCAGATGGAAAAATCTGATATGAATTCAGTTATGTTGAAATTTAATAGGTTGGTCTGATGTAATATATTAGGACGGTTCACATTTCAAATTTTTTAGCAATTTTTTTATTTGAAGTTAGCAGAGGGAATTAAGATCTCACGCTTAAAATTAGCCTGCTGCCAGTGCAAGTTTGGACAGAGTTTCGAAATCAGCAAGCAGAAAGTTTATTACAAGTTAGCAGTGGAAAGTGTGAAATGTGAACCGGGCTATTGCATGATAGCCACAATATCATTTTAGGTAGATATAATATCAATTCTGGTAGATACAATCCCAGTCTTTCCTGATGTAATATCAGATATTTTTATCTGATGTAATGCCAGATTTCGCAATCTGATACAATCATTTTGGCAGTGAAGGTGACATAGTATCTGTTTTGTTTTATCAATGCAATCTGTACTAAGACTGGAGCCTGGTATTCACATGTGCCAATAAGCTAATCATTACAGATCTGTACCAACCAGATTTCCATTTGCCCTAGGCATCTTACATATTCCAAAGACACAGTGGTATATTTTTTTGAAAGCTATCTCCATATGATATAGCGGGTTAGAAAAAAAACTCCCAAATTTTAGTTGACAACTCCCAACAATTGTCAATGGACATCTGTTGGGAGTTGTCTTCTAAGTTCTAATTTGGGGGCTGGTTTTGGGAGTTGTCCCACTATTTTTTATTTTATTTTTTTGTATTCTATTTCTTTGATTTTGGGGGGTTTGGGAGTCACTCTTACCTGACAAGAAGGAATCGCTTCTGGTCAGTGAGGTAGCTGTACATCACTGACCAAAATGGGTTCCTCTAGGTCAGTGAGGTACAACAGCCTCATTGACCAGAAGGAATCCCTTCTGGTATATGAGGTGCAAAGACCTCATCAATTGGAAGGAATCCTTTCTGGTCAGTGAGGTAGCTGTACCTTTCTTAGAGATGGTCGCGGATAATCCGCCGCGGATATCCGCTATCCGCTGGCGGATACCCGCCAGTGCCAGCGGATACCCGCCAGCGGGTGCGGGATTCGGGTGCGGATGCACCCTTCCCCCTGAAATACTGGCGGGTATCTGGGTATCCCTTGGGAT